CTCTTCCTAACATCTAATCTAAATCCATCCTCTTTTAGTTTGGTGGTGTCTTTGAACTCATCAGTTCCACTTCATTTCACTTTGTTTTGAAGTGTGTCTAAGGGCATCCCTCTGCAGCTGAATCTGCAACCTTCTAAATATCTGAATTGCTGTGTGATATACCAGTATTTTTAGAGTAATGTTAGTTAACTCTTATTGATAATCTGGTAGCTTGATTTATAATAAGAGTAATGTTAGTTAACTCTTATTGATAGTCTGGTAGCTTGATTTATAATATGGATACCAGCTGTGCAGGGGGATGATCACGTCCCTAGTGCTGCTGGCCACACTATTAATACCCCACCCACTCAGGCTGAAACCATTAAACTTAAGACCCCAGGGGGTCAGTGGAAGAGTAGGCAAGGGGTGGATACTGAAATGATTGTCTGTATGTATGTCATTTTAACAGTATTTGTTTTGGAGTGTGGTAGTATAATTGTAAATGGACTGATGGTAACTCTTTGATTAGGCTCTTATAGCTTTCATTAGGACTATAAATAAGTTCCTGACTTGCCATATACAGTATGTTCCTTTTGCCCATCTCAGCATCCTGAAGGTAACAAGTCATTGGGAAGTCAAGCAACCTGTTCTATAACTTGGATATCACAGCTCAGTAACAGTAAGCATCTTAATGATTTTAGGCCCTTAATGTGGGGGAGCCTGGTTTCCTTGCAAAAGTAGTGGAGCTTTGAGAGAATAATCCAAACACTTAACTGGGAATCATCATCTTTTCATGGGTTATGTAAAGTCTGTGTGCCCATAACTTCAGCATTTTTACCAGATTTATCACTACTTCTACTTCCCTTCTTGTGAATTTCCTTTTTGTTTTGCAACTGGGTCCTAAGTGGCAAGATTGTTAACTTGCAGCCTTGATGTTCAGAGGTTCTTCAGTCCTCCTTCCCTGTGCATCTTTGCTCTGGTTTCATTCTGGTTTATTTTCTCTCTTTCCCATTTACTGTTCTCTTTACTCTGTATAACATTTTTAAGTAACTTTGCTATCTGTAATCCAGTGTTCTTCATTCTGAAGAGCTGGGGGCCATACCATTTATATTCCAAAAATGTATTTAAACTCTAGGTAGTATGACTAAACTCTGTTTCAAGTGTGCTCACTGAGAGATTTTGTTGATGCTTTTGGGTGCATAAAGATGGTTCTTCATTTTCTAACAATGGATGCTGGGAAACACAGAGCTCTAGTATCTTTCTTGCCTTGCATGAACAAGTACTTCAAATACTTGAAAGGCAAATTTTTTTCCTCAAGTTAAGACTGTTTTGCCATTGCTGAGTTTTTTTGACATCTCATTTTTTGAGCAGAAGAAAATGCTTCAAGGAAATTTGAAATTTGTACGCAAAATTGGATTTGGGATCTTTAACTTTTGTTTAGAATACACAATACCTTTACTCAACACCAGACGGTGTACAATGTCTGATTAATACTGTTGTGGTTGATGTGATCTGGAGCAATAGCAAATGTTTTTTCTAGGTTTCCAAGGAAACAGTGCAATAGGGGCATATGGGGGTATGATTATACATATGTATGTATAAGAATTTCTTAAAATATAAAAGAAGCAAGATTGGAGGTGGGCTAAATATCCATATTTATAAGTGAGCTGTACCCAGCCTCCCTCTGCCCATACAGCAATGAAAAACCTTTTACCTCCTCTAACAGAGCCTGAATTTTTTGCCTGTATGATTTTGCACCAAGCTCCTGTACCACTACCTAGCTACAGTGTGGTTTGTTTTCTCACCTACACCAATAATAATTATCACTACTTCCTTAAAGTTGTTCACTGGATAACCACAGAACAAAATCCCCTACAAAAATAATCAATGCCCATGGCATTAAATACAGTCCTTAAAGTAAATAGACTTCACTGAATCCTTTCTTGTAAGATTTCTTTATGTACTCAATTGGAGATGTGTAGGCGATCTGTTTTTCATAAGAGAAGGGAGGTTTGATCAGAGCATTTTGTTCTCTGAAGTTGGCAAAATAATAAAATTTAAGCATAGGTAAGAGGAAAAATGTAAAAGTTGTCATGGTAATTACATATCTGATCTTTTTAGTGCAGTAGCTTGAACTGGCAGTACTTAGTACAGATTTTTCAAGCTCTGATTTAAGAACCATCAAACTTCAAGTAAATTTAGTCAGTTAAATAGTAACATGGTTGTAGGGGAAATTTCTTTCGAAGCTGAAAGGACTGATGACCTTGTTGTTCTGTGTGTGCATGTTATTTGCTTCAGCTTAATCTCAAGTTCGTTATGACTCTTCTGAGTTGTCTGTTTATCTCTAGTTGTTTAGTGTATATGAAGAGTTTGCTTTTATCTTCACCTTGATTTGTATGTTGACACTGTGTACTGTAGTAATCTTGAAGGTCAGGGAAGATTAATCTTTACAAGTCATATCATTCTGACACTTGCCTCAGTGGTTCTGTTTGAAATAACCAAAAGACATCCCTGTTGTTTCTGTTAATCTCAGCTGTAATGAAGTATACTCTTCACAATTTATTTGTATACTGCAGATGTAGTGATGAAGTTATTCTTCCTTGGATCTAGAGGAATAAATATTGAAAAATTACTATATGGCTGCTCTTTTGCATGCCTTCTAGTGAACATAAAGAAGAGTACAATTGAAAAAAGATTGTAGTTCAGTCATCATGGAATTACTGTTCCTGTGTAAAAAAAAACCACTGATTATGCTATATTGGTTTATTATAATTTGTCTCTTTGTGTTCTATTTTAGATTAATAAATTGTATAACTTTGTATCAGGTTAAGTGATGAACTGTAATGAGATTGCCATGTTTAACTGGTAGATTAGGACCATTGTATTTGTATATCAGTGAAGGAAGGAAGTGAAAAATTGAAGGGGTAGCAAATATTGCTGATTGAAATTTCTCTAAATTGGCCTTTTTTTTAGTTAAGGCCTCAGTCTATCTCTGTTGAGATAATTTTGATACATGTCATAGTAGCTCAGTTACATATCATTAATAATTTGCTAATGCTTTTTCATGGTTAGTTGTTTTCAAGTCTTTATTGATTTTTGGATGTTGGGAACCTTCCCAAATATATTTAGAAATTGAGGTGGGTTGTCTTGGTAGTACTGAACTTCCTCTGAATTTACTGTGTTCTCAGGAATATATATATACTGGTAAATTTATATAATTTTTAAGAAGTAGTGTTGACCATAATATGTTTGAATGTCTTATTTTTCATTGTTTTTCTCTTCATTTTCAGGTCTGGCAGTTTCTCTTCAGTTGCTTCATGGAGATATAGAACAAATTAGGAGAGAGTATACATCCAGATTTACCCATGGAGTATCCATAACAAGGAAACTAGGTTTTTCCAATATTATAATGCCTGGTAAGTTAAAGAGAAAAAAATCTCTCAATAAGCAGTAAAAGAAAGAACTAATGAGAGAGGACTTGTTTTTCATATTTTTTTCCAAAAAATACTGTATGCTGAAACTTCTTAAACATTTCCAGAGACTTTTATGTTAGCATTTTTTCATAAAGTTAGAAGGCAACTGTGTCCTGGTGATCCCATTACATTAACTATTGTATAGTTACTGTACCAATGTCAAAAGGGCATAAGGCCATAGCAGCTTTTTTTGAGAGATGGAGCTTCATTTTATAGAACTGGAGATGACTAAATGCAAGACTGCTGAGCTCTGTGCAAGAAAAGAGATAAGCAGCAGAACGTTATGTTCTTAGGAGCTGGTAGATTTCTAAATAAAGGCTCACAGAATTTCACTGGTACTGTACAGCTTCTGTTTTCCAAAGGTTTGTGTTTCCAGTACTGGAAATTACTGGAAATGGATAGTAATGCAGATGCAGAGACTTCATTTTTGATTATGTTGTATGACAAAATATGCAAATACTTAAACAAATGCTAAGGAAGATAGAAAGATTGTGTCAGTATGAATGTGAAGAAGCAAATACAGGAAGAAGATCATAGAACTATCTGTAGCTCCATCCCTGAAATGAAGTTTTTAAAAAGTTGAATGGATTGCTGGAAGTTATAAGGCAAATGTCTCTTTAAAAGAAAAGCATACTTGCAAGCAGACCAGTTTGGCATGATTGTGGTGTTGTTTTGTTGCTAAGAAATGTTGGAGGAAGGAGTTCACATCTTTGTTTCAGCTGAATCCATACACAATGTTATGACTCTCTCAAATGCAAGCCATCCTCATGACTTGCAGATTTTTAGTAGAGACTGTCTTCTTCATGTAAAGATCTGCCTTTGCTTTCCTGTGGACCTAAATCTAAACTCATGTTCTAAGGCAAGAATAAATAAACTTCAATACTTCACTAATCAAGGAGGTCTTAAATAGGCATTTAAAACTCAGTAATGGGACTCAGCTTTAACTATGGGCATGTATTTCACTTGAACTTCTGCCTGCAAATTGACAACTGAGAATTCACTCTTGCATTCTTACTGCCAATTAAACATCTGTCCTTCTGCATCCTAGATCAGCACTACTGATCACTTAAAACATGCACATAGCAGAAGTTAATGAAACAGTTCTAGCATTAGTATGAAAATACTCTGCTGGTGTGACTGCAGTGTTTAGAACAATAAACTGCATGTGTCAGGTGCCATTTAATTTGAAGTTAGTTTATATGTGTGTGTTTAGTGGAAGCATTCAATTGAAATTTTATGGCTTATTAGCTAGGGTTTATTTGTATTACTATTGGATTTGTAATTTGAATCAAATGGGTGTTGTAGATAATAGGGCTGCTAACAGTGGAAGCAGTTTTACGGAGCACACTATAACTCCCATTAAGAATCCTTTCTCCATTTATCTATGATTTAGTAACCTACTGCTCTATGTTATCAAATTTGCTAAGTTCTTTAAATTTCTTATATCTCCTCACTTTCCAGTTGAGAAATAATGTGATGTGCTAAACTGCAAAAAAAAAATGTCATAGCAGAGTACTGTGTAATCAGCTGCTGGAGGAAATTCTTGACATTGTTTCAAAGAATTGTGCAGGCTCAGTTTGTCCTTTTTATAGTTTAAAAAAACCCCCTATGGGTTCTGGTGTGCTGCTTTCTTAATCCAATTGTATATTGGATATATACCTCAGCTTAAATAATGTACAAATTTTATTGTATGCTTTCTGGCACAGAAGGCATTTCTCCTAAAGAGAAATAATCATCTCACTCTTGCAACGATGACTTTCAAGGGCTAAGCAGAGCAGAATGCCATAGGCACTGAAATGCCCACAGGAACCTTGCCTTTGAAATGCTTTTTTCTTTAAAAGCTCCCCTCTCATTTTGTTTCTCTTCTAGTGACTTTTCTTTTTTCAGAGATAAATTAGAGAACTTCATCTTTGCCACTGGAAATGGTCATTAATTAGATCTGATTTTATATTTTTGTTGAAAGTAAGTGTGCTGCTGTGGCTAATTAGCACTTAGGTTAGCGTTCCGAACCAAACTCTTGAATTATTCAATATGAAATACTTCATGCTGTTAAACTGCAGTATCTCTTTTCTAAGTGCCATATTTTAAGTCTCTCGCCTATTCTGGTGTATTTAAACTCTCTCTGACCTTCATTTTTCAGCATATCAATCCTTTTCTCTTTAGAGCTTTTGCTATTAAAAGTAACTAGGATCAGCATATATGCCAAAGCAGAATTTTGTTGACAATAATAATGCATGGCTTTATACAGTAATGCTTTTGGTGTCACTGCAGCCTGACAGGGTGAAGCTGCAGAATGCACTGTCTAGGACCCTTGAAATTTTTTAATGCAGAACTCCCAGTGTTTTAGGGTATTAAGTAGATAGCTGGAAAAGAAATAGATGGCTATGATTCAAAGATGCTGTGAAATAGGTAGCTCACTTTATTCCAGCTGACAGAAGGAGGAGAGGCTGTCAAAGTGTCACTTTGTGAGTTTAGTCAACATGCATTTTCTAGGTTTGACCAGGATTTCGGGGCACACTCCTATGCAACCACTAGTAAACTCCATTCCAGCATCCTGGTTTGGTAGTCTGCATATACACAAGCCAGTATTCTCAGAAAGCTTTGTACCTCACCAAGGAATAACTGTGTTTGCACACTGAGTTTCTGTGCTCACCATTTCCTGAGAGGATAGACAAACACATCATTACTTACTATATAAAATTTAGCATTTGATATTTACAAACATTATATTTCTGAGCAGTACTTTAAGTTAGATTAACATACATAATGGGTAATGGAGTGTGAAAGACTTTTTTATTTTTCCATACACAATTTTACCAGCTTTTTTGTTATTTTATGTCAGGCACTCTTGAGGAATCTCTTTCCAAATTTGACTTAGAGGATCTGTATCAGTGCATAACTTCAGTGATGTATATGCTTATATATTCTAGCACACCTACATGTATGTGTTCTTTTGCATCTTTGGAGAAGATACCTAATTTCATAAAGAAGCCTGATCATTTGGTGTGTGTTGTCTGGGGTTTTCAGAATTGAATAAACCCTAGCACAGCTGCTTGAATGAGGACTTCCTGGAGCTCCCCACTACACCTGTCACTTGTAAACAGACTAAACTCTGCATCTTGTAGGAACAGCAGGTCACCTCCAGTCTATAAAAGTGTACTGCAGGGTATAACCAATTGGCCTCTTGGCTGACATGTCAAAAGACTTTCATTGGTGGATATTAGTTAGCTATAGACACCCTTTTTTCCACTTATGATCTGAATTGGTACCATTACCACTGCTGGGATCTTATCACTATGTGCTTAAGAATTTATATTTCTTTGTGTCCATCCAAAGATTCAAACTCTTATGGTATTAGAAGAGGTTAAAGATTTGGTAAGTCACTACAGTGGTATTACATTGACCACTGTTTACCTTGTACATAAGCCTAGAGGATCTATAATGCTGGTATCTATAGCTGAGCTAGTCAGTCCTGACTGCAAAAGTCTTGACTTTGTAATCCCTTCACTCAGAATTTTTTGATTCTTTCCTATGGGTGTAATAAAATTTCACAAATGGCATTGCTAAAGACTCTACATGAAGCTGCACTATTAATTTCTGTAGTGGAATTTTCATTCTTTCAAACTTATTTCTCACAGATTGAAAGTCTAGAAGTCTAATTTTGTTACTCAAAATTTTATCATTTTTGGTTTGGGTTTCTTTTTTTTTTGTACAATTTCTGCTTATTCAGCAGGTAGAATGAGGTTCCCAGGATGTTGCTGTGCTTTTAAGATTTCATATGCTTAACTTAGGAAAAGTAACTGAAGTTTTTTTGCCATCACATCTGCATTGCTTTACATTTGTCACCTTTTAATGTCATTTGTCACCTTTTCACATCATTAGATGTCCTTTAGCTGACCAGTTAAATCCCATCAAAATCCTGTCTTTCAAAGCTACTGATTATACTAATTACTCCTTCATCTGGATTATTAAAAGGTCTTTTATTCTTTTCATGTGCAAGTACACACTCTCCAATCTTTTTTACTGATTCCAGAAGCTTTAAAAGTTAAACCAGAACTAGAATCTGTCTTTTTATACAAATGATCTCACAAAATGCTATCTTTGTGGTAACATGCATTTTTCAAAGATGTGATTTTGACTGGAGGCATATTCACTCTTTCAAAGCATAGAATAAGAGTCTGGAGAGCAAAAATGTAAAAAAAGCTATGGAATATATTCTCTTCAGCATGGTGTCTGTATCTGTCAGTGAGTTTGGATGTAGAAAAAAGCTGTTGATTCTATGGAAAGAAAGAAATGTCTGACACACCTAAGCATTCTTCTCTTGTGAGCAATAGAATGAATTTTTCCACACTTCTTTATCCTGTATGGAGTACAAACAATCTAAATGTAACCCCTGCCACTGTTTGCTGTTCTGATTTCCAAGAATCCAGAAATATGTATTTTTAATTACTGAAAGTAGTATTGCCTGGATATATTAGTTACACAAAATATGTTTGAGCAATATTGTGGAGCAAAGACACCCTGAATTTTGACCTTTCAGAAAACTGGAGTACTCTTTGGGGAATATCCTCTGCTTTTCAAATCCTATTTTAATACTTTTTAAAGGCTTTGATCCTATCTGTCAAAGGAACTATCATTTCCCTGAGTCACTGGAGAAAACAAAGATACATGACTAGATATTTGGTTAGACAGCTGTAAGGATCTTCCATCTCCCCTGTCTTGTTGTCTTGGTTCATTAGGAATGGAAAGAAAAAATAGAAGAAAACTATGGAAAGGGAAAACAGCCAGAATTTAATTGGAATTCCCTTGATTTAAAATCTCTGAAAGTGGAGGATGGGGATATAGTATTTAGAAGAATAAGAATAATACTTTCTTTTGAGTATTGAATAAATAGCAGCGATGAAGGATAGTTATGGTTTTGAAGTTTTTCTTCAATAAGCCAG